TCGGTTCTCGCAAGATCACCATGAATACAGCACGTGCAGCGGCTGCCTTTATGTTGATGTTCAACATTATGGAAAAAAATAAGAAACCGAAACGAAAAGTGAGTTGGTGGATTAAGAAATTGTATCGTCAGCGAATGCAATATGGAAATAGACTTATGCGAGATATGACAGTTGAATTAGTGGAGGATACAATTAAAAATTTCACTCAAATGTCATTATCGAATTTCGAACACATAACCTCATTGATCGAGCCAAGAGTGAAAAAAATGGACACCCAATTTCGAGAAGCGATTACTGCGAGGGAGAGGTTGGTTATTACTTTGAGATTCTTAGCCACAGGAGACTCCTATACAAGCTTGCAATACCTTTTCCGAGTGTCCAAACAAAGTATATCAAGAATAGTGCCCGAAGTTTGCGATGCTATCATCGACGCCCTGAAAGAATGTTAAAATAAGAATGTCAAAATAAAACATCAGATTTTCAGATTAGTGTGTATTTATTTTTCAATGTATTGGCAAGAATTAATCACTCACTCAATTAGTGGCATTTAACAGAATGCTTTTATTCAATGTTTGAAGAAAAATATCCAATCACTTCCTCAAGATTTGTGGTTCCAACAGCTTCGTTTGCCTGATTTTCTTCTTCGGTTAGATAGGTAGTAGCTAATGACGTTGTTTGTACAGAAGCTGGAGATGAAGTTGCAGTTGGAGTCCTTATTACACTCTCTGATCTTCCAGACTGACTGTAATTTTGGGTGTAATTCCCAATATCAGCTTCGAAAATAACATTATTAATAGCACGCTTCACTTGTGATAAGGTGCTTGGGTCATATTTTCTTAGCTCGTTAGCGATATATTGGCCATATGTAAAATAAGGGTCTGTCGGTGTGGTTACACTGGACTTGAGGATATCAAACGCTTCCAGTAGCATTGTTTGATTTTCTTTAGCTTCGGCGCTGGCAGACTTAGGATCTGTGCGGGTCCTTTTACGTCGAGGTGCTTCTGGTGTTCTAGAAGATGTTATTCCTTCAACAGCAAGCTCTTCATTTTGATATTCGAACCCCGAGGTTTCGGCGCAATGTGATGTTCCAGGCTCCTGAAAAGAATCCCAGATCTAAAATATATATATTTTTTTACAGGTTCCAAGTTCAGAAGAAGAATGGCTAGCTATTGCACAAGAATTTGAGAAAAAGTGGGACTTCCCACATGCTATAGGTGCTATGGACGGAAAACACGTTATGTTGCAAGCACCTATGAACTCTGGCACAGAATATTATAACTACAAACATTTTTTCAGCAGTCTTATTTGCTCTCGTTGATGCAGACTACAATTTTCTCTATGTTGATGTAGGCTGTCAAGGCAGAATATCTGACGGCGGTGTCTTCAAAAAAACTCAATTATTTAAAAAACTAGAAGAAAAAGCATTGAAAATTCCGCCACCAACAATACTTCAAGTACCATATGCAGTTGAACTTCCCTACTATATCTTGGGTGATACAGCATTCGCATTAAATGAATATACTCTGAAACCATTTG